AACAGTGTTTTGTAAATTTATGAGCTTGCCTCAAATAATTGACTCTAATTGTAGTCTCGTGGCGTCATGACAAAACACTTATTTCACTTAAAACTTGAGTGAACTGTATTTTACAATCATAGGATTTTTGATAACATAGGCTTTGTATCTGTCAGGATGGCCGTCTATAGGCGCCAGACTCAAGTAAAACTTGCTTTTTATTGTAAAGCGAAGGGTATTCTGGTCGGGTTTTTAATAAAATGGTTTTTGGTGTAATCTTGCCTCAAAAAAGGTGATTTCAATCTCAGTCTTGTGAACGACATCTTAACAAAAATCCTATTTGATTTAAAAAAATTTAAAAATTTAAGTGAATTGCATTTTAATATCATAGGATTTGTTTTTATAACTACACTACGGTACCAATCGCTCATATGTCGCTTGCTTTGCATCGTAAAGCGACGGGTATTCTGTTTTCCGGATGGAGGAGTGGGTTCTAATCCCACTTCCGACATTTTTTTAAACTTATTTACAACATGTTTGTTTCATTTTGTGATAATGTCATATTGTGATAAAATACGACTGTTTTTTAATAACAGTATTTTTGTATGTTAATGAGCTTGCCTCAAATAATCGTAATCGATTATAATCGTTTTACTTAGGCCTATTTTTTAGTTGTTTTATAAAAAATATTTTGATAATATAATGTTTAATAAGGCCATGTAAAAAAAAAAGTTCTTGATCGTCTCCTCTATACTTTAAAAAAAAAAAAAAAGTCACCCAACCAATTTTTTCCCCTTTTTCCGGCAAAATTCACGAAAATATCATCTTTCTGGCCATAATTCAACTTCGGTAAGGCCAGGATTTTTTTGGGATAATTATTTTGTTTTGCAATTGTTTGTTCATATAAATTCCACCTGATCAAACGCTAAATTGGAAGTCAGCCACCATTTACATGACGCCTTGCACAACATCAGGTACGGTATTCATGCCATAGACTTACCATGTATCAGTAGGGTGGTTTCATTACTGATTAAAAAATACACTCCTCCCTCTGACTCTTTTTTTAAAGGACGATTAACAACTCTTTTGTTTACAAGGCCTATAACAGTTTGTTTGTTTGTGTGTTTGTTTGTTTTGTATAACTACGATACCCTTTTGTCATGTATCTGTCAGGATGGCCGAGCGGTCTAAGGCGCCAGACTCAAGTACAACTTGCTTTGTATTGTAAAGCGACGGGTATTCTGGTCTCCTAATGGAGGCGTGGGTTCGAATCCCACTTCTGACAATCTTTTATATTTTTTGACTCGTTTTATAATCAATGTTGTGTATGTTGATATAATTTTTAATAACAGTGTTTTGTAAATTTATGAGCTTGCCTCAAATAATTGACTTTCCGCCGATAATTCAACTTCAGCTGGGCCTGGGATTTTTTGTAATTATTTTGTTTTGCAATTGTTTGTTCATATAAATTCCACCTGATCAAACGCTAAATTGGAAGTCAGCCACCATTTACATGACGCCTTGCACAACATCAGGTACGGTATTCATGCCATAGACTTACCATGTATCAGTAGGGTGGTTTCATTACTGATTAAAAAATACACTCCTCCCTCTGAATTTTTTTTAAAGGACGATTAACAACTCTTTTGTTTACAAGGCCTATAACAGTTTGTTTATTTGTGTGTTTGTTTGTTTTGTATAACTACGATACCCATTCGTCATGTATCTGTCAGGATGGCCGAGCGGTCTAAGGCGCCAGACTCAAGTACAACTTGCTTTGTATTGTAAAGCGACGGGTATTCTGGTCTCGAAATGGAGGCGTGGGTTCGAATCCCACTTCTGACAGTCTTTTATATTTTTTGACTCGTTTTATAATCAGTATTGTGTATGTTAATATAATTTTAAGTTGTTTTTTGTGCTTTTTTGGGTGTAAATTAATGAGCTTGCCTCAAATAATCGACTCAAATCTCAGTCCCCTCTGATTTAAAACTTTAAGTGAACTGCATTTAATTTAATATCATATAATTTTTTTTATAACTACGCTACCCATTGGCCATGTATCTGTCAGGATGTCCGAGCGGTCTAAGGCGCCAGACTCAAGTAAATTTGCTTTGTATTGTAAAGCGACGGGTATTTTTTTTTGTGTGTAAATTAATGAGCTTGCCTCAAATAATCGACTCAAATTTCAGTCTTGTGACCAACATCTTGACAAAACGCCCCTCTCATTTACAACATGAAGTGAACTGCATTTATTTTACTATCATAATTTTTGTTTATAACTGCGCTACCCACTGTTGGTCGGCATTTATCATGTCAGGATGGCCGAGCGGTCTAAGGCGCAAGACTGAAGTACAACTTGATTCGAGTATTCTGGTCTCCGAATGAAGGCGTGGTTCGAACCCCACTTCTGACATATGCTTTTACTTATTTTTGGCTCGTTTTATAATTAAATTGTGTTAATATTTGTAATTGTTAATATTTTTTTGGTAAATTAATGAGATTTTTTTTTACTCGATTCAAAGTCAAATTGTGTTAATATTTGTAATTTTTAATATTTTTTGTAAATAAATGAGCTTGCCTCAAATAATCGCATCTATAAACGCAGTCTTTTGACGTCTTCGACAAAATGTTTATTTGATTTTAAACTTGAAGTGAACTGTCTTTTACTTTGTTTTTTACTTTTTACTTAATTACGAAAATATTAGCGATATTGTTGTGTTTTCAGCGGGATTTGAGCCGACTTGTGAGAAGTCGTTTATTTACGTCATAACTTTGACTATACCAATCCATTAGCTTAGGTTGAAGCGGCAACAGAAAGGCAGTTTTCTTGCGAACTTAAATATTAAAAGTAAATCCCATTGGATAAAATTTTCTTCCGTCATTTTTGCATTCTTTCAGAGGTTTTCGAGAAAAAAAAACTGACCGAGCTCACAACCGGCCCATGGATCTGGTCACATTCAAATATTGTGAACTGTTGAAAATATGGTACGGTACCATCAAATTCTTGTTAAAATTCAATAAATTAATACGTTTGATGTTGGACTTATCTTATTGTTACAGTGATGAATAGATTGGGAATTAATTTTTAATAGTATTCACGTGTAATTGATCGTTTAATGTAGTGCATTCTATATACCCTTTTCGGATAATGAAACCAAACATTGCGCCGTGCAATGTGCTCAATATATAGTGCTTTTCGTATGCTAACAGCCGCAGACTCAAGTAAAACTTGCTTGTTTTGTGGTGGAGGCGTGGGTTCGAATCAGGGACGTAGCCAGGATTTTGAAAGGGGGGGAGGGGAGCCGTTATGCGAATTACGTATGACCCCGGCGGGGTCAAATCCCGCTGTGAAGTAGCGCACTCTGAACGTTCTTAGGACTGTTTGAGAGGATAAAGTGAAAATTGCAATAGACGCATTATAAATAAGCGCAAAAATAATTATATAATAAATCAACAGTGGCAGATCCAGGAATTCGAAAGAGAGGTGAACCAGGGAGGGACTTTCACAGACCGAGGAACCACCCACCTCAGCCCCACGATGGTTGGGCCGCGGAGGTAAGAAAAGTTATGATTAGGGCATCTCTAGATGGCCGGAAATTACACTCTCGCACTTCAGTTTGAATATATTTTCTTTTTTTTTTCCTTAAAAAATGAAGGGGGGGGGGGCCTTGAATCCACCTCTGCTCAAAACATTCTTTATCCAGAATACGCATAATCACGAAAAATGGACA